GGGGGTGCGATTTGAGGTATATTTTATGATATGACAAGTGTGTATAGTAAGCAGTATTATCGTAGCTTTAGGTATAATGGGTGCATGCTACTATACTATTCATTTTGGGATGATGCAGTTATGACATATGTGAGTATTGATTATCACACCATATCATCGGGCTAAATTCATTTCAATCATAACTAAAAAGATATAAGAGTCATAAACAAACTCCAGTATAAGGTATAACCTAATTAGGCCTTTTCAACATAACTAAAATAATAATTCAATAGGTCATAATCAACATCAGCAACGAGTTAAAACTGATATCACAATAGATCATAAAATAAAAACCACAATTGGTCATACTAGGCATATGTACACATCTCAAAATGGGGATGTGTATTGTAGAATTTCCCAGGTATAATATATGTTCAATGTCTTTTGTTACATACCGCTTAAATTGTTAAAAATAAGCATAGTAAATTCTCATTAAAAAGTAACAATTCAATCAACCGAACGAGTATTGTCATTAAGATGGTTGTAACACCAGACTGTCATGGGGTATTGGCATAAATCTAACTCATCAACAGGTGTGTACTGGTTATATTCGGGCAGCAGCATTATGGTTGTAACAAGGTATATGGCATGCATGTTCTTTTCTCCCTCTTCTTTTCTTTCGCCCTTCTTTTAGTAACCTATTTTATTAACAAAAATTCAATCCATACAATTTTCGGTTGTGGATTTCCCAATTTAATATGGTTAGAATACACACTTAATTTGATGAAGGGTATTGGATCTCGAAACCAGTGTTCAAAACCACCCCAAATCTCTCAAAGCAAATGCCCCCTAAGTAATTGCAAATTAAGGTGGCATTCTTTTCAAACATCATCAATAATCCAATTGCTAAAAAGCCAATCTCCATTCTACAAAAAGATAAACAATCCAAAACAGCAGAATACAAATAAAGATAGAGCTGGGTAATCTTGCGTCAAGGCGACCTTGAACAATCATACATACAACAAAACATACATCAGCTGAGAACAGAAATCTGACCTACACAAATTTAAACACATCAATTCATAAACATAAAAAGCAAGCATATATTCAAATTTGAAAGAGAACATAATAAGAGTAGCATTTTTGGCTTATTGGATCACAATATGTAGCAGTGTTGATATAGTAGAGAGAGAGAGAAGAGAGAGAAGACAGAGAGGTTAACAGATGAAATAAAGTAGCACTTGGTTTAATAGCCCACATCTTACAAGAACAAATTCCCTAAATACCGGAAAATCAAATCATATACCTCCCTTTTTTCTTCAGACACCTCCTGGCCACAAGAGGAGGCTTTGACAGGAATCATCACAGCAGGAATCGTAACATAACCGATCTGTCTTAGGGTTGACATCAATCGTCATCTCATCAATCATCATCATCGAATTCACATCAGAATCACGGAAATCGAATCGGTTAGGGGCAAAGGAATGAGACCAAATCAAGATAGAGTGGCGGCGCGGATGAGAGCGCCGCAACCACGCCGCGAGGAGAGAGCCGACTACGCTAAGAATATCCTTGGTGCGATCGCGAAAGGAAGAGGAGTAAAGTCTCCGAAAGGAGGGAACGATTGTCGTCGTGTTCTCTAACATCATCGACGGTGGGCGCGATCGACGATGACGGTAGGGGTAGGCAGGAGACGAAGGTGGTAGGTTTGGGTGGATCTCGCGAATTTTTCCGGTGAAGAAGACGGTTGATGGAGGGTTTTGGGGGGAAAATTAGGGTTTTGATCGAGGGAGTCAGATGAAGAGGAGGAGGAGAGGCCGGAAGAAGAAGATTAGGGTTTTGCGAGGGGGATAGTGGCGGGCGGGTCTGGCGTTTGGCGGAGAGGGAGAAGGCCGAGGAGGATTGGACAATTGGAGGAGGAGACGATGGTGGCTCGATGGTCGCCATTGATGAACAAATATGTGTGAGGCAGAGAGAGAGAGAGAGAGATTGGTATGGGAAGAAGAATGACTTGGTGTTGGATACATGAACGTGGACTCAACGCTATTTGTTTTTGCAAAAAATAATATTAATATGGAGTCGCGATCGGTGTTCCGGCTTTTGCACCAACTGGACCGTACGATTGGATCCGTGGATTCCAACACTGCTGCATCTCAATCACTCCGTGCGTATTTTCATATTTGGCGTATTTTACGTTAAAGCTAATTTTTTTATTTATTATATTTTTTAATATATATTATACAAAACAAAAAAATACAGCTTGCGGTTTTGGTTTGTGTTTTGTAAATGTGATTTGAGAGTATGAATTGTGATTTGAGTTTTATGGTTTGTAGAATTTATTGATTTGAGGTAGAAAATAGTTTTGATTATGATTTTTTAAATAGAGTTTTGAATTGTGTTCTTGAAGAGGTATGTTTTGAATTATTGTTTTGGAGTTTGATGTGACATGTAAAGGCGAAAATTTGTTTGGTGATGTGTTTGTTGAAAGTAAGTTTTTCAAAACTTTATTCAATCAATAATTTATTCATCAAACAGTAAACTCATATTACGATATCGATATCGATATCTATATTTTTTATCAACAATAATAACCAACTATTTTTTAAAATCTGAAATAACATTGATCTTTTTTTGTCAATTATTTTTTTTTAGTAATTTTTTTTGAAAAATTTGTGATTTCGAAATAATTTTTTCATTTTAAAATTAAACCGATGTCAATTTTTCTGCCAATTAAATTTTTCTATCAATTCATTTAATAAAATACATTTTTAATTTTTTTCTAACATTTTGTGTTAACGTTAACAACTTTTTAAAATACATATTAATAAATAAGGGGGATAAAGATATACTAACTTTCATATTTTAAAATACAAATCATATAAATCTTACAAAATATTAATCAATTTATTGTTTCCTTATTAACATCTTTTTGTAATTTAGTACAGATGTTGTAACAGAAATGCACTCTATTATTGCCACGAAGAGGCTCATATTAATTGTAGGAAATTGACATGTGACATGACCATTATGCCCTCTGAACTTAAATGAGAAGTGATGATATAAACACAAAATACAAAGGGTAAGATCGTAATTTCACTTACTTAATATATACTTCCCTATTATATAAAGCTGTGTTTCTAGCTGTGTTCCTAACACTGATCGAAGAAAAAGCAGAGGACGCAGTGATATTGATTTGAAAAAAGTATAAATATTATTAACAAATAAAAAGTAAAAAAAAAAAACAAAAACTTTCTTAACATTATATGAACCTGACCCTTCTGAACCTCAACCCTTCCTATTAAATCTGAATCTCCTTCTATTTACCGCACCAACTTCACCTTCTGCGGAAGCACTTCTCCATTACATCACAGAATTTAAATTAGACAAATAGAAGATATCCACCCTCTGGTTAGGTCTGCATTCTCCACTTCTATAATTTACAGGTGAATTTGCTGGCCAGTTCATCTATATTTGGTTCAAACATGAGCTTCAGAAATTCAAACATGAGCTTCAGAAATAGCTTTCACTGAAGGGGGAGAGGAGGGACGACCGGCCGGATCATCCCCGTAGGGACTTCGCCCAGTCATCCGCGGCCAGTCACTTTTCATTTCTGTTCCATTTTCATAAATCCTGTTCCATTTCATTTTGGTTATATTTTCTGACCCCCATATCTGTTTTAAATTTTTTTGCACTATCATTTATTTTTCTAATTATCAGTTCTAAGTTCTAATAAACTCTATGAATCAAACCCCAAGACAAATTTTATTCTTATGATTTTTTTTTTTAATACAAATCTGTTTCTTTGGAATCTGCCAATTAAATTTTGTCACAAATTTTTTTATATTTATTTTTTTTCATAAAAATAATTTGTATTACATAAAAAGATACTAATGTTTGATATATTTTTCATCATTTTTTCTTAACCTCTCGTATATTTTAATATTACTTTTCCTTTCTACTTTACAGTCATATGCCAAGAAACAATCATTGCAAGACAAAAACGAACCAGACCCGAAGTTGGTGAATCGTCAAACCCTGTACCACCACCATAGCAACAAGATGATGGCTATCCAACTAATGATTTGTCAACATAATCATATGACAAGCCTATGAACATTTCATTTCGTCGACCAATTGTTACGGGGAGAAAACGTAAAATACCTTCTCAATTATGATTCACTCTTAATTGGCACAATTAGATTACAATTGGGAGGTTTACCATTAAATAATTTACCAAAGTAAAGATATATGCCCCGTCTTGTACTAGAAATTTTTATGTTCACTTGAACAGCGGCGTGACCAACAAAAATGAACCGGAGTCTTACCTCTTATGTTAAGGGGAAAAGAATCACACTCTCTCTGTGTCGTTTTGCATCAAATTATTGGAGGTCAAACAGGAGATTTACAAGTGTCTATTTTCAAATGGAGTCTGCCTTAGAAAAATATTGTTGATGATCCACTCAGGATTTATACCGACAATTGTTGACAATCGATTTAAGCGGCACTAATTAAAGTCAGCCATTTTAAAAAACCTCACCTTCGTATTCTTCCACGATGGATAGTTGAAAATTGTCAAACCCCCAAAAAGGACATATAATACTGTTCATGTTTTCACAGTTTACTTGTTATATTGTTTTGAAATTGGACAAAAAATTAGATTTATGCCTTTATATTACTAAAAGAAATGATGGTTGCAAAAGTTAAGATACTGCTGAGTGGCGGTTCCCTACCTTTTGGAGCTTTACTAACCATAATTTTTCAAAAGCCCATGATGTGAACTATGAAGATGAAGTATGGATCAAAATCCACTTCACCAATTTCTGAATATACACTGACCCGAGCTGGTGGTTCTGACACGTTGATGGGCTCTCTTAATCTTCAAAATGAACCAATACTGATGAGGAAGACCCAATGACAATACCATGCCACCAAATGAACAACACCGTTACTGGACAGAATTATTTAGCCTTGGAACAAGAACGTCCAATCAGCGCCTACAATGGAACAACAAATGACTAATCAGCTCAATACACTGGTACTCGGGTTGATGAATTTGGTACTCGATTCGATGAAATTGCCACCGCTCAGAACTCCACCTAATTCATCAATTTGGTGAGTTCCGCGTAGACTTCGAAGACGTGCTGAACTAACAAGAACCGCATTGATCTGATTGACCATCGATTCACTCAGCGTACCATCAGCATTTCCCCTCCACCTCCAACACCACCTGATAAGGATGCTTAACTTGTTTTAAAATCATACGGTTGTTATATTTTTTCCCTTTTTTTGTTTGCTTATTTTGGTGAGTTTTTGTTGTGATTGTTTTACTTTGTTATTTTGTTATAACTTTCTATTCACGTAATGAATAAGAACGAGGGGTTTTTTTTGAAGCATTTAATTACACAGTTATAATGTAATTAAAATAGTATGTCTACATGTCTATGAAAACCTTCATTTCAATAAAAAAAATAAAAAATTATTAAATAATTTGTGTGCATCAATTAATAGAAAAAATGAAATAAGTGTTCTGAATTAAATACAACAACTTATAATTTAATAATAAACATTGTGTACTAAAAAAACAAATATTTATAATAAACATTTTTTTAATGAAAAGGGAAAAAAAAAATTCACTATAAGCAAAAAAATAATATATATTTAATAAAACAATCGGGGATATAAAAAAAGTAAAAATATAATAATTATTTTAATGTTATTAATTTATTATTATTATTATTCTTATTATTATTCGTTATTTGTTACACTTTTAAATTGCGTGAACTTATCACCACCACCACCTACACCACACAAGCCATCCACCTGCCACCACCACCCATCCACCTACCACCCACCTCACACCACCACCACCACCACGCCACACCACCCACCTTGCCCACACCACCCACTACCCCACTGCCACCACCAGCCCACTTACCCATCCTGCCACCACCACCCACCATCACCCACCCCACCACCTACCTGCCACCTACCACCACCCACCACCTACCGCCACCCACCACCCCACCTGCCACCACCACATTGCCACCACCATCCACCTGCCACCACCACCCACCACCCACTTCCGCCAAACACCCACCTCCACCACCCCCCCCCCCCCCCCTCCCCCCCCCCCCCACCCCCCCCCTGCCCCCCCCCGCCATTACCACCCACTTGCCACCCACCAAGCACCACCCACCTGCCACCCACTCGCCACCACCACCCACCCCTTGCTACCACCACCCACCACCTACCTGCCATCCACCTGCTACCACCCACCACCCGCCACTGCATCTACCGCCTGCCACCACCACCCGCCACCTATTTGCCACTCACCACTCACCACCTACCTACCACCACCCACCCGCCACCACTACTCACCACCCACCACCACCCGCCATCCGCCATCTGCCATCTGCCACCCATCTGCCATCACCACCCACACCTCCCACTCACTACCACCCACCGCCCGCCACCGTCACCCGCTCATCCACCACCACCACCACCACCAACTACCCACCACCCACCGTCATCACTTTCCACCACCGTCTTCTACCGCCACTTGCCACCACCACTCATCACCCACCTACCACCACCACCCACCACCCACCTACCGCCACCACCCACCACCCACCTGCCACCCACCTGCCACCCACCACCCACCGCCACCCACCTGCCACCACCACCCATCTGCCACCACCCACCACCACATTTAATTTAATGACAACATATTTATTTCTAAAAGTTATTCAGAAACACATTGCATATTAATAACAACAAATTTAATTGTCTTTGGTAGACTATACATAAATTTGAATATTACACATTGCATGAACAGCGTATTTAACTACACATGTACTAAGAAAACCATTATCTTCAGTGCCCATGGTGAACATGATTTTGCCACATAGCAGTAGCAATTGCATCCCTAACGTTCGATTGAGACGTTAACCCATGTTGTGACATGTCAACGTAGTCAGGTTGGTCTCCAGGAAGCCTGTCTGCTTCTGCTTCTGTGGCCATTTCATTATCAGCTTCCATAAAGAATGGATCCATAACTGCATGCAAACGGATCCAATTGTGCACTACACAACATGCAATCACGAGAGGCCCTTGTCGTGTAGACTTGTAATTTGGCATGGACTGCAATATTGGGAAGCGCTTCTTCAAAACACCAAATGTTCTTTCTATGACGTTGCGTAATGACGAATGTCGATGGTTAAACAATTCCTTAGGTCCTGCATAACGATGGCCACGAAACTCTTGCAAGTGATATCGTCGAGACCGAAATGGAGTAAGAAATCCAGGCATGTTCGTGAAACCAGCATAAATTAAATAGTACTTGCCTACATGTAAATAATGAATACACAGTTCTGTCAATTGATATGTATAAAAACAGCCAAGGAAAAAAGTATACAGTATGTTGTTCAGGGACAGTCACCATTGGGTGGGTGTGGGAACTATAGATCAGCTCGTGTAATAGAGTCAACCAGAATAGCGTTGTCGTGAGCGCTACCTTCCCATCCAGAATTAATAAATGTGAACAACATATCGAAGTTGCAAGCTGCGAGTACATTTTGCGATACCGTTGCTTTTCGACCGCGGAATGTATGTTGTCTTGAAGCAGGGACCCATGCATCCACCAATGTGCCATCGATAGCACCGACACAATCCTAATTGACAGATATCAGCCTTTGATATTAAAAGCGAAACAAACTGATTGATTTTACTTTCATAATTAAAAAATAATAATATTTATTAACCTTTATGGATATGAACAAATTTACAGGACAGTCACACTGTTCGTACCTTGAACCAGGGAAAAAACCGCCTGTCATTTAAAATTTTTCCTGAGATGTCCTCTAGGTTACGTGGTTTGATAACCGATGATGAAAGCTTGCACAATGCCCGCATAACAATTTTTATGTGCCGACAAATTGTTTCCGTTGAGTGTTGAAATCTATCTGCCATTATTTGATGGTGATCATTTTGTGCAAAAGTGTATGACATGGATAGGCCCACAAGGCATACGGCCCACGGCAAACCACCCCGAACCCATCGCTTGGGGCCAATGGCACAACCCGGTTGACAAGGCCCAGAACAGCTGGAGGCCACCTAGACATGAAGGGCCAACGGCATTTAGGCACACGGCAGGTGGGACACGGGCCACATCAGCAGACAAAGATCTGCAGAGTTATTATCACAACACATCACCATTAATGCAACCCATCACAGCATTTATTACAACAGCACTTCCCGCCGGAACAGAGCCTCCATCACCCTAAACAAGATGAGCTATGGCACAGGCTTTCGGCGGAAAAAGCACGTCACAAGAGACAGGAAAAATGATGACAAAAGGATATAAGCAAGGATAAGAGAAAAAAAAGGAGGTTAAGTTGCTCTCTCTCTTGATCTCTCGAGATACAGTTTTTTCATACTCTGCTCTTCTAATTCTTGCACCGGAGGGTTCACTGGGGGACTACCCCGTTCCCCCCTTTGTCATAACACAACATAATAGAAAAGAAAACATAAATTACTTAAAAGTTAAAAAAAAAAAAAAAACATACGAACATAGAAAAGGAAAGAGGATATGATGGAATGAAAAAAAAAAGAATTAAAACCAAATCAGGGATAATGAAATGATCAAACAGTTCAGCCAAGAAGATTTGCTAACACAAGCAAAACAGGGATAATCTCAGTTCACTGCAAAGCGAGGATCATGGCTAGGCGCAAATGGGTAGAAGTGCGCATGAAAAACCTTCGCCATTCCTTATCCTTGAACAGTGTCAGTGCCCTAACGTACTGCAACGGTGGTATGTCCCCAAGCTCAAGCAATGCATCTTGACATGCATCAAGGGAATAATCATCACCACCTGCACTTACAGCCTCAGTCTTATTTTCTCGTGCACGTGAATGTCCTGTTTTGGCTTGTACATAGGATGTGAAAGCAGCACACACATCATCAAACCCACTTGACCGTGACTTTTTGGAACGACCACTGTCAGTCTGGCTGGTTGCAGGGCCTCTCTTGTGACTTTTGCCCTTTGCTGGATCTATATACTCATCCCCGAATAAGTCAACAGGAATGGCCTCAGCAGCATTACTCCCACCAGCGTTACTCCCACCAGCATCAGCGTTCCAAAATTTATTTAACATGTCGTCTTCTTCTTCTGAGTCAAGGGGTCCTTGTGTGGATGCACGAGACAGGGCCCCTGTAGCACAACAATTTTCAACAATTTCTGCCATTTCCTGAAAATATTCAAACCCTTTTGTCCTAAACTTCTTCACATTTCTGCTAGCCTACAACAAGTACAAAACAAGAATTAAGCATTGTGTATATCATGAAACGTTTAAAATAAAATTAGAAAATAGCACAGATTAATGGAAAACCTTATCCCAAAATTCATCGGGTGCAACAACAGTGCCTATAATAGGATCCTATCCCAGATCAGTCTGTGCCTGGAGTCGCTTGAATGTCTGGTAATTAGCTTTCAAGCGTTGATATTTTTGGCGCGCCTTAACACCTGTATACCGAAATCCATATATGTTGTGCAACTGATTTGCATAATGATTCCAATGCCTAATTGTCCACGAAGTAGTACGGCCCGTTGTTTGATTGTTTCTAACCTCATCTCTCAACATATTTATTAATTTCGTTTCAATTCTGGGCGTCCACATTTTGGTGTTCTCATTGTCATCAGAATTATTTCCGTCCATCTATAAATATACAAATTATATTTAAACTAGTTTGGGATGAATATACAAGCAGAACAAAGTATTTTAAAGAACACTGCGATGGATATACAACAATAACAGTGCAAAATGATTTGAAGGAGAACACAGATAAAGGAAAAAGAACAAATTATTTTATTTCAAGGAAAAAAGTACGTAGCAGATTAATTGAATTTAAATAGCAAAAATATAATCACAAAAAAAAAAAACATTCAGATAGCAGAAATATAACCACAAATAAAAAAAAAAAAAAGACTTTTATAAACCCAAAACCAACTTTTTTTCCTCTGTCCCAAACGACCCTTTGCAAGTAGTCATGGAAAAAACATTTTTTTTGTTTTATCAAAAAAAGTTTTGCATAAAAAAAATTTCGCTAAACCTTTTTTTTTTTAATTCTACAAAATGTAATTTCAACCAATAGAAAGAAAAGGAGGGTAAAGTATGGTATGAACTCGATCAAAAAAAAAGTATGGTATGAACATTTTATTTATTTATTTCTATAAATTAAAATATGACTCAAAATAATAAAAAATTAAAATACATACATAAATATTCTAATATGTTGAAAAATTATGAAAAAATATAATTAATTTTAACATAAGTATATTGACTTATCTTTTCATAACATCAAAATAAAAAATATTTTAATGTAAAAAAGATAACATTATTATTTTTTCGTTTTTAATTCATATTCATATGAATGATAAATTATTAATAAAAAATGAAATGCTATAAAAATTAAAAACTTTACTATATTTTGTATAAATCTTATTTACCATATAAATAAATAAATATAGACATATATATGTCTAAATGGTAATGTAACACTAGCTATCCCTGGTTTTAACCGTGTGTGCCAGCGCTAGGGGTGTCTTTGCTCTCAAAGCCTCAAAATTCAGTTAACATTGGGGTGTCTTTGCTCTCAAAGCCTCAAAATTCAGTTAACATTGGGGTGTCTTTGCTCTCAAAGCCTCAAAATTCAGTTAACATTGGGGTGTCTTTGCTCTCAAAGCCTCAAAATTCAGTTAACATTGGGGTGTCTTTGCTCTCAAAGCCTCAAAATTCAGTTAACATTGGGGTGTCTTTGCTCTCAAAGCCTCAAAATTCAGTTAACATTGTGTTTAAATAGTAGGAAAGAAATCAGTAATTTTTTTTTAATTAACAATCAGATAAAAAAAAAATTAATATTGGTTGTTAACAATGTAAAAAAAAAAAATCTGAATTAAAAAAAAAACAATGTTAAAATTCAATTAACAATGTTTTACAAAAAAAATTTAGTTAACATTCAATGTTTAACAATGTGTTTAACATTGTGTTATATTGATTTGAATTCAAAACAAATTAGTATTGGTTGTTAATTGAAATTAAGGAAAAAAAATAGTAAAATGGCCGGTGGGTTCAAACAGTTCAGGGAGGACCGGTGGTTCAAACCATTCAGGAATGGAAAGTGGAAGACAAAACCGGAAGAGAGGTGGGAAGACCGGGTGGTCGACCGGCCGGATGACCCGGGGGACGACCGGCCGGGTTGTCCCAGGCACTGCCACTATACATTTGATAGAAGAAAGGTTCAAACCGTTCATAATTTCAAATAACAACCGATCTAAAATGGAAAATACGACATACCAAATTCTGATAAACCATTTACGAACTGATTTCAACTTCTCCAAAATCATTTATACATAACAGATGAATGATTTACATTATTCTTGAAGAACAAAAAGTTGAAACAGTTGATCGACTCGTTTGAAATCATTTTCAGATAACAGATGAAGGATGAAGGATTTATTTACCAGATTAGTGGGAGTTGAATAATTATCGCCGGTGATGGAATGTGTATACTGATTGAACGTGCCACTATTTGCTCGTCGAATTCGACAATAAATTTGATAAATTTGACCTGAAAAAAAAAATTAGAATGAATTTTTCAAATAATTTCCCTATAACAAAATATGTAAATAATTTTGTGAGTAATTTCACCTCGCAGTCGTCGTTGATTGGTTGCCCGTAATAAGAATCGTCCGCAACGCACAAATCGTAACTCAGTTGATTTGTGAAATATGATACGAGTACGAAGTGGGTTGGATAGATTCATTATTTATAAAATGAGTCTGACCTCTGAAACTCTCTGAAACTCATCCGTGATGAATCTGAACACTAAGAAGCCGCCCGTGATAAATCTGAAGGACAGGTGTAGATGAGGTTCACGTGAAAGTTGGGAGATGATGAACAAGGCAGAAACGTTGAAAGGGAGATATTTGCTACCAAACAGATTTTCAAAATGTAATTTGAATTAACACGCGGAATCAATTTTTGAACATCGTATCTAAACGTCATACGCGAACCCACGTGTTGAAAATTGATTTCAGTTCACAACCAAACAGAGCCTAAAATTCTTACTTTTAACTTTACTTTCCAAAATAGACCTCGGTTACACTGCATTTGGTGTTTGGGGTTGCAATTTTTTATTTATTTATTATTTTTATAGTATTTTTTTTTAAATTTCCAAATTTTACTCAATTAAAATTTTTGATTTTTTTTATACAAATGATAAGTAAAGTAAAAAATAGTTGATTTTAAGCTTTATTTTGAATTTTTTTTTTACTTTTTAAATTCATCTACATAAAAGACAAACAAAAGTAACAAATTTAAACATAATTTTGAAAAAAATCAATAAATATAAAAAATCCATTTTTTTTTTGGTTGTCTCCAACAAAATAAAGTAAAATATAAAAATCAATTTTCTCATAATTTTTTTTTATTTAAAAAACTTGATATATTTTTAAAATTCTCTTTAGAATATTATCTCTCTCAAAATATGTTTTACAATATTTAGTTGAAATATCAATAATTCAAATTTTCTTTTCTTGACAAATAAAAATAAATTTACTTTCTTATACTTTTATTGAGGACAATTTTCTCACATAAAACTATTGACAATTGAACAAACAATTCATTTGATGGAAAAGCTATAGTTATATGATATTACAAGAAAAGTAATTGCGACTCACATTTAAAACTTATAAGTTAATTTTTTATTTATCACAAATTTAAAATAAAAAAATGTACTATTGCTTTAAGATTCTACAAGTTCCAAGACATTTGTTAATTTGTAAATGTAGGTATGAGTTTGTAAATGCTGTTAATATTAGGTGTAGAGTCCGATTTGTTCATACATTATTTAGGTGTGTAAATAATACATACATTTTGATGATTGATGTATCATTTCAGGTAATATCATTAGATTTTTTCAGTATGTAATTATATATTTAGATCAATCATATTATGAGCAAGGTTTTGAAAAGCAATTTCGGTCGCCGTAACGGTGACAGTAGCGCGGTTACAATTGCAGTGTATAAAAGCTGTAGCGTAATAGTTGCGGTAATCGGAACAATGAATTTTTTTATTTTTTGCATAATTTGAAAAAAACTTATTGATACGCATATTTTTTTCCTATGATCATATTTATTGGGTTTAAAATAAATATAGATCAATTTTTGTAAATTTTTAAGTATGATCTAATATATGTCATATTTTTAAATCACTATAAACTCAGTTTTTTTACATTTTATTTTAATAATTAATGATTTTATATTATACAAAAAATCAATCACTAACTATTATATATAAGATAAATAATGACAAAAGTAAGAGAGTAAATAAGAGCCTAAATATATATACATACACATATTTTAACCAAGTCAAATAGATAATGACTGCACTTATTATTATAATTATTTTCAAACAATATATAGATAGACACACATAAACAAAATGGTTGAGTAATAGCAGCTGAATAGAATAGCATAGGTTTAACAGTTTCAACAAATCAATAACATGTTCTTCATTTTCACTCTTCTCTTTCTCTATCTCTTGCTCCTCCATCTTCTCTCTTCTCTCTATCCCTCTTCCTCCATTTTCAGTTTTTTTTTGTGTATTTTTTCGAAAGAAGCAGTTCGGAACTGTTACATAACGGTCGTAACAGGCTATTACGGCACCGTTATGACCGATACGGCGACCGCTACGGCCAACACACTTGTGAATCTCAATCATACTGCAAAAACGACCGTAATGGATGGTGGTAACTACTACAACCATTACGTAACGACGTTACGTAACGGTTGCGGTTACTTTTTAAAACCTTGATTATGAGTATTATTTTTAAAAAAATGTATGAATAAATTAATTTTTTTTAGGTGTAACATGTAGAGTGTCTTACATTACGTAACGGCGTTACGTAACGATTGCGATCGCTTTTTAAAACCTTGATTATGAGTATTATTTTTAAAAAATGTATGAATAAATTAATTTTTTTTACGTGTAACATGTAGAGTGTCTTACATAAAATAAGGATGGTATGGGAAGTATAAAACTTTTACTTCTATGAAAAATATTATCTGATTTTTTGGAGAGAGAAAAGGAAAACAGATTTTAATTTTTTTCTTTTAGAAATCAGGGAGAGATTAGGATGGAGAGATTATAAAATATTTTTATTATCCTTTCATTTGAAATCCATAAATTAAGAATAATTATTATTTTCAAAATAATTAAATAAATAAAGCAAGTAATAATTTTTTAAAATTTATTTTGTAAATTAAAAAATTAATAATTTTAAATTGAGAATTTAGAACCCTTAAACGACTATTCATTAAAAGTTGTACAAAACTTTCACTTTACTTAAATTGTAGATTTCGTGAGAAGTCAATTAGCAAGTCACTTTGAGCAATTTCATCGGATTTCTCATCGTACACAATGAGGTCTTAGAATTGAGGTCATGTTTTTATAATACAACTTCAACCAACTTTTTATAAAAAAAATTTAAAGGCTGTGTCTTCTTCAAAACTCTTTTAAAAAAAATAAAAATAAATTTGACAAATAAGTTCAAAACAATCACATCTGAAAAAATAAGAGTTGAAAGAACTTCACTTTCATTATTTAAAAAAAAAATAAAAAATTTCTTGCCTTAAATGGAGTTATTTTTGCCATTTTAGTTGCAAATTTATATTTTTTCTTCAATAAAACGGCACTGTTCAGGCACAACACACCCTGTTGGAGAGAAAATTGAAGAAATAATTAAAATATGTCTGTCATTGTCACAATTTGATTCAATTAAAGAGGAGAAAAAAAGAAGAGATATAAGTCATTTTAGGAGAAAATAAAATATATCTCTCCATTTCTTCTTTGTGAGCAAGGCTAATTAAAGAATTCTTACATCCCTCCACTCAATAGCGTAGCCAGAAATTCCCCTTAGTGGGGTCATTCAAAGGAAGAGAGAGAACAAATGAAGGAATGCATTGATGACAATGTAACAATGTTTGTTAGAGAATGAAACGTTGATGGAGCAAATGAATGAACGAATATTGAGTTAAAATTGACACCATTAAACAATGAATAACTCCAAATATATGTGATATTTATCCAAATTCACTGGGATCATTTTGTTAAAATTAACACAACTAAACAATGAATAGCTCCAAACACTGGAGTCATTTTATTAAAATCCAAAATTATTAAACAAAATTTCAGATATATTTAAACAAAATTTGAAAGTTGAGTGGTGTCAATTGACACCACGAATTGACACCACTAAATTACACATAGCCCCGCTCCTGCCTCTATTCTCTTCTTTTAATATTTTCTTCTTCTCCCATGGAATAGGAATGATATAGGTACTCATGCTTCATCAATTTTCACCACTTCACTAATTTCTGTCTATTTTCCTCCATGAACAAACCTCATTATTCTCATAGTTCTTTCTTTTATTATTTTATTTTCTCTTCTCCTCTTTCATCATTTTATGGCTATTCTTAAAAATTGAGCAAAATTACAAAAAAGTGTGCAAAGAATCAATTAGATCTGTCAAGTTGTTCATGCGTGGCACATCGCATACAAGAAGTATTGATTAGTGTGACCCTCACATGAGGCCTACACCAATCAATAATTGAGATGTTGTGTACCGCAATACCATATAGGATGGTGAATAATTTTGATTGAACTATTTTTTATAGAGTAAAAAATAAAGACATAATGAGCTATAAACAATATTTTTTTATTAGCAAAAAGATAAGTTTTATTGATGAAGACCATTATAGAAAAACACTCCAATCCCAACTAGGTTGGCATCGAAGAGTGAGCAGAATCATATTCAAGCACCCATCCAAGAGATTGGCGAGGAACTAAATGAAACCAAAACAAAAACCTGCAACAATTATAGGATGAGAAAACATGGCAAAACACTTTAATCCCTAAGCCTTATAAACTTATTTGAGTAAATAATAGAAGAAAGTAAGAATCATTAACAAAAATGATATTTTAGACTCAACCAAAGTAGAGTAACACTGCAGACAGTGCCACCTTGTATTTTTACTACAATAACCCCAAATTGATAACAAATTTTTTTTGTTGCAATGTGGGATTGAACAAACTTCCTATTTATTTGATGTTTTCATAACTTGTTGAAGCCAAATCCATCTACTGTATCCACACATTTACCTGATAAAGCAATAAAACTGATCACCGCAAATTAAAGAAATCATAGGAATAAACAAAAATGACAAGGGAACAAAACCCTCCTCAATTTAGGAACATACCTTGCTCAACTATTAAGTTATTTAGGCTGTTGCATAAGGCTCACAATAAAATTTTTAAATTTTTTTATTGTCCAAGTCCCAACTTTTCATGGGCTTAGTTGGATAAGGTCTAATTTGATAATTAGTCAGAGGTCTCCAATAGTTTTTGGCCGCTACTGACCTCCCAATGGATTGTTCTTTGTCATCATCTTCAACCAACACCCATTCATCATCCTCTTCACTAGAAACTAAAATATACCCATTGGATGAGCTTCGTTCTAGGTCTTTCGGATGTTCATAT